CTGCGCCGGCCTGGCCCCTGCCCGCCCCCTCGTCGCCCAGGCTCGCGATGAGGGCGGAAAGTGAATCACTAATTAAAACCACTCCTCGCATCCCGAGCTGCGCTCTTCGGATTACTATTATTTTGCTCTTTGAACAGCTTCGGCTGGTATGGGCAGTGCAGCTGGAATCTTTTCCTTCCAAACTGCACTTTGAATCCGCCTAGCTCTAAAGTGGGACCTGAGACAAGTGCCCCAGACGCGTCCAAGCCTCAGCTTTCCCATCCGTGAAATGGAAATGGTAATACAGTACCAACCTCCTTGGATTATTTGGAAGCATTTTTGATGCCTGGAAGAAAGTAAGGAAGCTGTTACCATTTGTGTGGCAATTCCTTGGCCCATGTTCCTGGCCTACGGGTATGAAGATAGTGGGAGATGGCTGAGTGTGAGGGATCAAGAAACCAAAAACAGCTTTATCTCCCCTTACTCCAACAAGGAATAATGAACGCAGATAATTCCCCAGGACGAGTCCCCAAGCGGGAGAAGCCCATCTCCTCCAGGCCCGCTCCACCTGTCTAGGCAGGCCTCCACCTGTTACACGAGGGGAATAAAGGAGTAAGAAGAGACCCTTCAGAGAGGAGGACACAGAGAGCGTGACTTCTTCATCACACCAGTAATACCCTCCTCTTGCACACCCAGAGGAAACAGGCGTGTGGCCTTCACCAACAAGCACCCCAAAAGAAAAGAACACTGAGAAGCAGCACATGGAGAGACCCGGAGCCCTCAGCGGGTGAGTCCACCCCCTACCCCACCCTGTCCTAATTTGTTACGCACAGCTCTCTTGCCCCTTCCAAAGTAATAAAATCTTCCTGAAATGCTAGAACCGTGAGGCCCAGCGCTGTCGAAGCAGCGGCTTCCGGAGGCCACTGCTGCTCCATGCTGTAAACCCCTGGTGATTGTTAAAATGATTGCTGCAGCCACAGCTCTTGGCCCGCCAGCTCCCTATTCCCAGACATCAAGGACACGTGGGCAGGCTGCCCCGGAGCCCCAGCAAGCCACAGCTCCACACCTGCCAAAAGAGTACAGGGCCCTGCGTGCACCCAGAGCTATTGCCCTAGACACCCAGGGTGGCTGCAGGTGCCAGGCCAGAGGAGAAGGGGGAGGCAAAGGAGATTACGGTGGGGACTGATCTCTCACACATGCCCACAGCACTTGCTCACTCACCAGGCCTGTTTGCCAGGTGGGACTGATGAGACCTACTCATGCTGTTCCAGATCCCCAGAGCTGCAAGGGGACCTCAATCTCCCAGGAGTCCAGGCCATCACTCACCTTCCCCACGAGCTTGCCTTTGCGGTTCATACACAGGTAGAACTCCGTCTCCTTGCCCTTGATCCGGACTTGACTCCCAAAGGTGTCTGTCTCCACTAGGAGCTGAGCTTCGAAAGGTAGGAGAATAAGATACATTTTTTAACCAGGAGCAGTGGCTTAGTCTAAGGGCTCAGTGACTCAAAAGGCTCCCTGACTCTGATCCTGGTCCCTCTCACCCCTAAAGCCAAGTGTAGGCGGCACGTCTGACAGGACCCATGGGAGCACCTACCGGCAGGGGGTATGGAAGCTGCACCACACCTGTTCCCCTTTTGAGCCGCTCAGCTCCAGTTGCACAACCCAGAGAGCTGCAGTCAGTGGGGGCAGGTCTGTCCTGTGTGGCTAAACACCCGTAGGGTATGTCTTCCTCCCCTCATCACCCCCTCGTCCCCAATGCCATTCCCCAAAGTAGAACAGCAGCCATACACACACACACACACACACACACACACACACACACAGTTCTACTCTATATGAAGAGAAGAGACACACACATACACACACACACACACACACACACACACATACACACAGTACTAGTCTAGATGAAGGGAAGAGACATGCACATGTACACACACACACACACACACACACACACACAGAACAATACTAGATAAAGGGAAGAGACATACACATGTACACACACACACACACACACACACACACACACACACACACACACAGCAAGCAATTTCCTCCAGAAGTTCAGTCAGAAGCTCTTCCCCTGGGGCAGACATCTAGAACTCTCGCTCTTGCCCCCTCCTGAGACCTCTTCCCTGACCACCTGAAGCAGGGAGGAAAGCCCTGGGAAAAAGGGTCTAATTTAGGATTTTTCACTGCCTTTAATTGAGGCCTCCAAAGCTGGAGGGTTATGAAGTCTGAAGAGCCCAAAAGTGCTGATCAGAGCCCAATTTCCCCCTCATCCCCGGTAGGACATGACCATCCATGATGCACAGAGCCTCCCTCAGGTTGCAGGTGTCCAGAACTGGTCCCCTAAGTCTCTGTTTAAAAAGGGGACCAGACGATCAAAGAGTGATGCTCCCTTGATTAGGCATGCTGTGTCCGGATCCCGCTCCCTCCCTCGGGCAGTCCACATTTTTCCCCAGTAGGTGCGGTGTGACTGAACCAAGTACCTCTCCGGGATCTCCCCTTGGTCTTGGGTCTGGTTCCCCCATCACCACTTGCCTGTCCCCACAGCTATTTTCTTTGCCTTCTACCCTTCCAATTCTCACACTCCCTTCCCTGGCCCTCTTCTGCACAACACCATCTTCCCCCCAACCAGCCCAGCGACAAAGGACATGCTTCTCCATAATAAAAATCACAGCCCCAAATTCCTGAGTACAGTATCCTTGGAGCCACAAAGAGTGTACCTTAGTGCCCCTAAAATGCACTAGGTATGATTTTAATAAAAAATTTTTTACAAATATACACCCTGGTGCCCTGCTGTGAAAATTGAAACCATATGGTTTCCAAGATTTCCAATAATTAATCTAGCCCTCCTTTGACACTACTGCTAATTAAAATATGATACCCACCTTTCCAAGGGGGAAAAAGAATTTACATCAAGTTTAAAGATCTAATAAGAATTTAGTGATTCTGGAAACAAGGGGAGGTACATTCTTCTCTCCATCTTTCCCCCATCCCTCGTAAACAAAGAATGAGGAACAGTAACCACTTTTGAGATGGGGCCAGGTGGGCTAAGAGCCTTGATATACTTCCTGAATGCAAACCCCTGGTAATTTCCTGTTTGCCTCATTCCCAGGACCAAAAGGCACAGTGGCTCGGGGACTTGCTTCCTCTATCTCATCACAAAGATGGAGTCAAGGCAATTCCAGGAGCTTCTGTGAGGGCAGCATGTGCATGGGAAAGGGCAAGAGCTTTAGAGTGTGTATCCCTAGCCCTTCTTGCCAACCTCAGGACCCTGGACCTGTTTCTTTGCCTGTAATACGGAAAGGATCATTCTAATTCTCTAACAATGTCTGTGAGGATTACACAGTAGGATAGCATTCTGTTCGCAGAGGTTGGGAGGGGAAGCTCAGAGACTTTGGTTTAAATTTCCTGAAAATTGTAAGACCAAACTGTTTTTAAGGAAGACAAGTGGGGGCGGGGGAACGGAAGGAAAGGAAAAGTGGAAAAATCTGAGAGAAAGAACGTAAGCGGAAGGCAAAGAGAAATCCCAGGTATGTGTACAAGGCTGGTTCCCCACACACACAAGGTATCACCTTCTGATCTGAACTTGCTTAGCTTTCTCCAAAGTGGCAGGCAAACCACACTGTCAAGTGCATCAGAAAATATCCAGGGCCAGGTACAGAGGCACATGCTTATGATCCCACCTACACAGAATGCTGAGGCAGAAGGATCACAAGTTCAAGACCAGCCTGGGCAAGTTGACAAGACCCTGTCTCAAAATTTTGAAAAACAAAATATTTTTCAATTGAAAGGGTTACAGATGGAGCTCAGTGGAAGAGTGCTCCTGGGCCCCCTTCCCAGTACTGGAGAAAGAAATAAGGGAAGGACGGAGGAAGAGGAAGGAGGGAAGGAATGTCCAGAGCTGGAGCTCACAAGCCTGACATCACCATCCTAGGCTGTGTGACTCTGGACAAGCCACACCCCTATCCTTGCCTCAGTTTCCTCACCAATGCAAGAGGGACAGGATAACCTTGATCGGGTTCTCCCTGGAACTGGGAAGTAGGGGCTAGGACAGGGGCAGGGAGGAGAGATGATAGGAGATGGGAGAGGCCATGGGACTGGAGCCCAGGACACGCCAGGCAAGTCCGAGGGGGAACTCTGCTGTCTGTTCCTCCCACACACACCCAGGACTCTTCCTTAGAATAACTCCAGCTCTGCAAGAAGAAGAGCTGCCTCCCCTTTGAGTGCCCCGAGGCTGCAAATCACCACTGGCTTGGGTGTCTCTGTCCCCATTTTCCAGTGCAGGCAACTGAGGTTCTGAGTAGCGACAGAGCAAGAGCGTTGACATCAGGACTGCCTGTTCCTTTCCGCCAAAGCCAGGCTCCGGGAAGAGGCCCCAGCCCTGGAGAAACCTGCCTCCAAGCACAACCCCTAACACCCGGCAGCCAGAGCCACTGCAGGAGGCCCTGGCTTGTGCCAGAGTTGTCCAATGGGCCTGGGGCTGGACGGCACCTCTGCCACCACATGAGGAGGGTCTGCACCAGCCTCTGCTGCACCAGGGAGCCAGAGGCTGGCTTCTCCCCACCCCCACCCCAAGTGCAGCACACAGCGGAGCTGAACGACCTAGACTCTACTCACTGCATGACATCATGAGGAGGAAGCCGGGCCAGAATTATGTAAAGTCTTTGGGGAGTAATAGCAGCTGAAGTTCTCTGAGAGAGTGGTAGGGGGGAGGCTCCACCCAGGCCAGGTTTGCCCCAGAGCCTGCCTGGTCTTCAGCACCCCTCCCATGACCCAGGTCCCCAAGGGCAGCTCTCAGGAATCAGAAGCTTCATCTCAGCCCAGTCCCCCTTGTGGGGCCCGCAGCAGGCCAGGCAGAGTGGATGACACAGTCTCCCTCGCCTCCGGCCTGTGCAACTCAACAGCTGCCTGCCTCCCTCTGCCACTCTTGCCCCCAGTGTTTTCCCCTCCACACATCAGCCAGAGAAATCCTCTAAAAACACCAATTTAATTGCTAGGGATCCCCAACTCAGAAGAATAGCCAAACATCATCTGATCCCTGCTCTCCCTCCCTCTCTCCCTTCTTATCTCCCTCACAGCCCCTCAGCCAGAGAAGCCACCTTGCTGTTTCTCCTCCAACGTACCAAGCCCCCGAGCCTTTGCACTTGCTCTTCCTGCTCCTGGAGGTTGCTTTGCTCAAAGTGGTTTCTCATCTCCCAGGTGGCCACCCAAATGTCACCTCTTCAGAAAAGCCCTCTCTGAGCACGCTAACACTGACACCACATTCCCAGTCCAGCGTACCCCAGCCCCCTGCATCCTATTCCTCAGGACTCTTATCCAGAACTGTCTGATCTGTGCTATAGCTGGGATAAGAGTTCCCCAAAGGCCCATGGGTTGAAGTTGGTCCCCAGCCTGTGGTGCTGTTGGGAGGTGATAGAACTGTGAGTTGATGGGTCTTAGTAGCAGGAGGTTAGATCACTGGGCACACCCTCAAGATGATATGGGGATGCCACCCTGTCCTGTGTCTCTCTTTGGGCTTTTGGCCACCATGAGGTGAGCAGCTTCCTCTACCGTGCAGACCCGTCATGAGGTGAGGCCCTGCCAGACGCCCAAAATCCATGGGCCAGCCAGATATGGACTGAATGAGACCTCCAAGGCTGCGAGCCAAAAGAAACCTTTCCTTTCTTAAAGTTGGTTAGGTTGGGTGTCTTATTATAGGAATGGGAAGCTGACTAACACTACTGCTTGCCCTTTGTATTGTCTGTCCCCAGATAGCAGAAGGTGAGCTCCATGAGGACATGGATCTATCTGCTTATCCACAGTGATCCCCACCACCTCACCCAGGCCTGGCTAAGAGCAAATGGCCAATCAGTAAGTTTTAATATGTGTGCAAACAGCCTTGTGAAAGAGGTGTGGAGTAGCTGGGTGTGGTGGCACACACCTGCAATCCCACCACTCTGGGAGGATCACAAGTTCATGCCCAGCCTGGGCAGCTTAGCAATTTAGCAAAACCCTTGTCTCAAAAAAATGAAAAGTGAGCTGGGGATGTAAGTCAGTGCCAAGCCCCTGAGTTCAATCCCCAGTACTAAGAGAGATTGACTGACTGATTGATTCATTGGGGGAAGTGAAGTGACACAGCCCAGGGCACTCAGCTGGTAGTGGCAGATAAGGGTTCAAATCCAGCCTCTGATTCTACACTCAGTGCCTTTAACCTCTCTGCTCTCACCTGCCATTATTCCTGGCATTACTCACACCACTTGATAAAATCCTGAGCTCCCACCCACCATTCTCCAACTTCAATGACAAAGCAAAAAGCCTGTGCTGTGTGATGAAAAGAAAAAAAACAAAAAAACCTGTTCCTCTCTGGGCCAGCACTAGGTAACCTGTCAGTTCTGTCCCTCTCAGAAGTATCAGTAACTCACACTTCATAGAGCTTACAATG